AAATTTTTGAGGAAACTCTTGATCTAACAGTTACCCAAATAAAGCATTAAGGTCTTAGACTTCTTTGCGACACCAGAATGTATACTAACTACATAATTTTCACAGAATAAAACACGAAAACTAGAAAGGACTGGAGTGAAGACTACGTCCTATAACTCTGCAGAATAATAATTTGTTAATATTACTAAAGTAAAAACCAATTTTGACACCTAATTTTCAACGTTTTAAGCATATAAAATGTTTGTGACTATAAAGTACATGAGATTACTGTAAAGATAAAGGCTTTTTTCAGTTTTACATTTCTTCCTGGCTTGTAACTCTCAATATTAAAATATCACCATTTCCAAATTTTGATTTGTTGTAGAGAAAAAAATTCTACACAAAATATGTCTTTTTTAAAAAATTTCAAGACACGTTTTTTTTTCTATGTTTGATTGAAATTTTGTTTTTATTGTATCTTTGTGTATTTTTACCGGAATTTCATTAAGAACGAGCTAAATTACAGGCCTTCAACGACAGGCGTGTTAGACGGCAACTTGGCTAATTTTGCAACTTTGAGAAGGTGTGACTTGGCGGAAAATTTACTTTCTCAGGTTTACTTTGCGGCATATATTTATGGGCTATGTCGAAGTCACAGTTCTTTCAGTCTACTGGTCAAATTTTTTTTCATTTTTTGTCTGTTACTCCATATCCGATGTGAAATTGAAAGAGTTGTCCCAAAACAACGCCAAAGTAAGAACGTTCTAAAGCGCAGAAATTGGAAAAAGTGTATTTTACTAACTGAAGCAGCATTTTGGCGCTTTTGCAAGTGCCAGAGTCTCTGTTTCAACTAAAATATTATTAATTATAATAATATATATAATTCTTATAAAACTCTTCAACTCTAATACTTCAGTGACAAATAAATAATTAAAGGTTTTTTACTATTCTGAAAAAACTTTCTATTATGACTACTTTATCGGTTTGATTAGGAGTGAAATAAGTGTAGAAATTTTCTAGGCTTTTTATTTCATTATTAACTCGACGTGTGTCACTCTCATCAATCATACCACGCGCGGTGCAGCGCAGGATCTCTCGTAGCAAATCATGGGAAGAGCGACTGCCTACTGTAAACGAACAATTTTGTTAGACCCGTGCTGAACAACACCAAAGCCCAAGAACGCCTACATCGGCAACCGCAGTGGTAATGTTATTCGAAAAAAAAAAAAAAAAAAAAAA